GTTAATAGTCAACATCAGAACCCTGAAACCAAATACAGGCTGGCAGCAGTAAGGAACAGGTAAATCTGATATCTAAATTATACTGTTACTAGTGTGCTTCAATCTCAGAATGGAAATCAGATCCTCAAATCTGAAATAAAAAAGTTAATAAACTTCCCTTAGAGATAGTTCTTTGAGCAACAGCCTTTTCTATCAAAAGAAGGTGCTTGTTTCTTTAATTTATGTGTGCCCTTACACAGGCAAATCCCAGTTCCTTATTCAGCTCAAAGACACACACATTCAAATAAGAAGATGAATAAGCTCACAAAAGAGAAATATATTAAAAATAAGTGAATCCCATCTGAATTGGCATTGATAAATTTTGAATATGCCCACGAGTCTCTCAATTTTTCTGTTCTTTCTCCCACAACACAATGAGAAATACTCCTTGTTCCAACCATGTATGACAGATAGACAGGAACACGTCCCTTTGGGGTGGCTTTCATGGTGTTCTCACAGCCAAGATCTGCTCTCCTGAGGATGCCATCAGCCCAGCACCAGAGCTGGAGCTGCAGAAAGTGAGAAGTGAGAAAGGAGCATGAGGATGTGTAGCAGTGGTGTAGATGATCCAACCTCAGCTCTTCACTGCGGTTCTTTCTGGGTCACCTGCAGTATCTTTTTGGCAAAATGCACAAGGGCAAGCTCAGCTGGCACCACACACATTTACCTTGCAGAGTAGCATTAAAAATGTACAAGTTGGACAATGCACTTTGTCCGTATCACTTTCAGGTACTTTCAGGTGGCATTCCTCCAAAGAGCTGATGCAGTTCAATAGCAGTGGGTTTGGCCATCTGTGGGCTCTCTAATGAATTCTTTGACTAACCCAGAATCCTGCTTGGCTCAAGAAAGGCTCCATAGCAGCCAGGCAAGTTGGGTGCACTGGAGTCTATCTGTTGTCTAAGGATAACTCAATTCCATGTTAATAATAAGAGCATGTGGTGGTCAAATCCATTCTCATTGTGTAAATCAAAGAGTGGTTCTTATGAGAATCTGTTCTTGGTCCAATACTAATCAGTATTTTCATTAAGAACTGGGATTAGGGCATACTGTGTTATTATATTTGCAGATGACACCAAGATAGAAGGCACTTTGCAGGAGAAAAGGTAAATTTAAAAAAATCTTAGTAAAGTAGATAAATAGTCTGGGTGGTGCTAAAATAAAAATGGTAATTTTTAAAAAATAGGAATTATTTAAGAATAATGAACTGCACAAGCACTAGATATAAAGTGACCAATTTGGCCTGCCAGGAAAAAAGTTTCAAATATTACAGAGCATACATTTGCAAGTAGTCAAAAGCATAATAGCTGTAAGGGAAAAAACAAGCATATCTTGTTATGGCTTATACAAATACTTGTGAGATAAGTGAAATTATTTTTCCATTGCGTACAGCACAGATAAGCCCTCAGTTAAAGTACCAGTTCCATTTGGTACTTGTAGATTTGGAAAAGAAGTGGCCAGGATAATGTCCAGATGACAGCAAAACAAACAAACAAACAAAAAAAACCCCCAGATTTTATCAGAAAACTTAAGGAAACTGGGTGATCTTCAGGTTAAAGAAGATCTATACTGTATGAATATTTTCATATAGTATACAGGTATTTCTCAGTATTAGACTTCATATTTGGGCCAGGAGAAGAAGCAAAAATGTTGCCTATTGGTGAAGAAGATCTAGATTAGAAGTTCAGAAAAATTTAACATTTTGGGGGATATTGAGCTTTTCTGATTGATTTTTAGGAGCAGCTGGGTGACCAAATTTGGCTGGTTCAGCAGGCCTTGGGCAGGAGTGTGGGACTGGAAAACTGCTGTCCATTTTATTTTCTAGAAAACAATTGCTTAAGTCCCAACTGATGTCAATGGTACTGAAATATATGAATATATTTTTTGTGGAACAAGCAAAACTGAGATAAGCAGAAGAGAGGGAAATTCAGTAACCTATAAAACATGGAAGACTATTTTGTTTGCTATGGCTCATCAGCTAATGTTTCTTACAGATGTATTTTAACAAATAGATTCATAGGCAGTATGATATTAAAAAAAATAAAATCAGAGAATATTTGTGTCTCATTGGCAAATTTAAAAATGTGAATTTTCTCTGCTTAAGAATAATTTTTGTTCTAGGAAGCAAGAAGTAGAAGGAATGTATGTCAGATGTGTACTTGCAAAGAGTAACGTCAGTTAGGTCTACACAGTAGGGATAAACCTCCTGTGGCCCTGCATTGTTCCCACTCAAGGCAATGAAAAGGCTGCTATTTTTTTCAGCTGGACAATCTCAGAGTTATTTTAGCAATTAGGTTCACATAATGAATTAATTACATAAAATTATAAGCAATTTGTAGACAAATACAAAGAAATTAAATTAACTGGATAAATTATATGCTGTGAACCACTCATCTGTAGTACTTATCTTTTGCTATTTTGTACCCTTAGAAATATTCCAAATAAGAAATACAGTCTAATAAAAGTGATTTAAAGAATATAATTTTTACAAGATAGTTTAATTGATATGTGGATTATTTAATAATTTTTTGTGAAATTATTAAATAAATTCCAAAATATCTTGTGGAAATATATCACAAAACACAATCACTAGTACATTCTCTCTTGTTTTTCTGAGTCCAGCATTTAAATCTGCAATGGAGCCTGTCCCTCCTGGCTGTTTTTCATTGAGCCAGTGAAATAATTTCAGATTATAGCAGTGGCACAAATCCTAGGGTAAAATCAGAAACAGGGTCAGGTTGCTCACAGGGAATTCAATGTTCCAACGCTAGAACTGATTTATTACCAACTAGTTTGTTTATAGCTATCTTTGATATCTTCTGGCTACTTTGAATTATGCATTGTTGACATACCCTCAGCCAACCTCTACTGATATTAATAAAACATTGAAAACAACAGATATTCAGCTAAGGACAGAGTAAAAAATGTTTGAAGACCTCTAGATTTGTTTCAACAGGGTGAGGCTTAACATCTTATAGCAATAGCATCAGTACTGTACATTTGCTGTGATCAAACATACAGTACTGTAAGAAAACTGGCAGAAGGCTAAAACCCAAACTTTTCATTCCATCAGAACCCTTAGCAACTAAAATTGTCTCCTTTCAGAAAGGCAGGAGATTGGGAAACAAAAATAAAAATATGTGAGGAAATTACAAAATATGGGAGATTTATAGATTTACAGCTGCAGCAGGCCTAGATGGAGAAAGTGAGACAGCAGAAAAGGGATTAGGATTAGGATTACTTATGCACTTATATAACATTTGTTCTAAATTTGATTACAGTACTCAGTAAAATGAGAACTCAGTATTCATCATGCACAGCAAAAAAACTTGATGTCAGCATCTTCATTTACATTTGCAAAAATAATTAGGAATCATTTGTAAAATGCTTTAATTATGTTAATCAGCCAATGTTTTGCTACACTTTGAAGACATAAAGGATTGTAGGAACTTCAGACAGAGAAACCATATGCTTGTTTGCCTCATATGGCTGTAGGAACATCATCTGTCATGTTCATAGCTGGTTTTTTTTTGTCTGCAGAGTCCCCAGTTATCCCTGCATGGTAGATTATTGCACCATACTTCTAGAATATTAGGCCATGAGGGGATTTTTAAAAAAATAATAAATATATGCACACACCCTCTCTGGTTTTGAGTATCCAGCTTCAGCTTTATAAAGCTTAAGTGCTAAACACTTCCTATGTGTTTATTTGTTCTGCAGCTCTTTCAGAAACTTGACTGAAATGGTAGACAGGTTTTTGAACTCTGAGCCTATGTGACTTTTCTTAAAGCTTAGCTGGAAATGAGATGTGAAGGTGTTGTGGAATCAGTGGTACCGTGACCTCTCCTCAGACTTTACGTACACTTTTCCTGTATGGTACCTAACTTGGCTTGAAAGTGATCTCCAACCTAAAGGCCAGGAAAGTCTCATTCCCCAAGAGCTGCATCAATTAACCCATTTTACTATATTTATGCCAAAATAAAGGGGAGAGGGAGGGAAAAACCCCAACCAAAAACCTTTTTTGTGATTGCTGTGAACCAAAGAAGAATGTGCTGTGTCTGTGTGAGGGAAGCCCGGCCCGGGACAGGGCTCGGGTGGGAAGGGAGGTCAGCAGCAGTTGGGAGCCAGCCTGGCATTCCTGATGGACACACCTACGTGGGAGATCTGCCCAGAGGCATGCAGGGTGTTATTAGCACAATGTGAACACGCTTGGTTCGCGTGGGAAGAATGGTGGTGAAAGGAAAGCTGGTGGAAAGACAGGTCCAATCATAAATACCAGCTGGAGATGTGATTAATTTACAATTTCTGAAGAGCCAAAAACTTTACTGTAAACACTGTGTTGGAAGGAAGAGTTGTTTTTGCCAGCTTATTCTGTTTGGTAGATGCTTTTGTAAAACCCTTTTGCTATATGAAATGCATCTCTGTTAGCAAAAATTGCTTTCACAGTTGCACTAATGAACCTCTCCAGTGCTGAGCAAGTACAAGATTTTATCTTCATCTGTGAGACCCTCTCGTACCCACTGATATATCTGAAACCTGTGTTCATGACCAACCTTGGCAGAGCTCTTCTATTCTGTCCTTTGCCACCCAAGGTGTCTGTATCAGTTTCAGATGAGGCAGTGAAATTTTCTTCACCTCCCAAGGTGTCTGTCTCGCCTCTCCAAGCCTCCTTGCCTTGTTCCCTGAGGCATTGGTGTAACCCAGCCAGGCTGGAGCCCTGGGCTTTGTCATGGACATGCCTGTGCAAGGGAGTGACCGCTACTCTTTAAGGTACCTGAACAAAGCAGGGATGGGGGCATGAATTTAATCTCTCACCCTTGAGAAAGGGAGGAATATTCACCAATATCACCAATATTGGCTAATATCTTGCCACTTACTATTGAGGCACAGACTTAAATAAAGGGGAATTGGTGGAAAGCACTGAATTATGAGGCTCTGGTAAATTGTTTTCCCTTTTCTCTTAGGTGAGTTGAGAGAAAGGAAGACTCTGGAAAAGGAACCTGTATAATCACAGCTTGTTGCTGCTGGGACAGGTAAGATCCACAGGCATTCAAGTTGGGTTTTCAGCATTCAAGCTGGCCACAATCCAGCCAAGAGCACAGCTGGAGGAACACCTTCAGAAATATCTATTTCATCATTTGAGTGCAGTATAGGAACATGTTAGCTGGCATTATATGAGCTGACTCAAATACTAAAATCTGAATCCTGAAGACAAAAAATATGTTAGTTATGACAACTTAGTGCATATCTAAATCCCACAGAGATTTATGCAATTTGTAAAGTCTGAACCAAAAGGTGCTCTCAGAAAACCTCTATCCAATTCAGCAGTTTACCCTCCAAGGCATGGGAAGCTGAAATTCTACATGAGGGTGCTTGAAATCCTACTTCCCACTACCTGGAGAGCATTTCATATATTAGATATTACACTATTTTGAAGCAAGATATTAAACTAAGAGAGTGTACAACCATGACCAGAATCCCCATGTTCCTTTCCCACAAAGATCTCAAACTCCTTTTCAAGGTAGCATCCCTAGGTGTGTAACTGTTTGTATCACAGTTGTCACGGTAATGTCCCAGGGGACTGGTGTCAAGAGACCTGGAAACCAGGCCCTGTGTTTATTCTCCAGAGTTCAATCTTTCTTTATCCATTCAGTGATCTTAACTGAAGCACTACAAAGTAGAAGAAAAAAAAATTCCCTGTAGAATATCATGAGTTCTTTGTTGAGGTGCATCATTTTCTGCCTGGCAATTTTTTACAAAGGTTAACCAAGAGGTGATGTATGAATGCCAACAATCATTAGGGCTTATAAATTAGAAAAGGAAATTGTTATTAAAAGATGAGGATAAGAATGAATAAGTTGGAAAAGTGTATATTTATAAATCATTAAATAAAGAGTCTGGAGAAAAATTTACATTTTATAAGGTTATCCTTGTTTATAATATAGAATTGCAAAATTATGTCACCGCCAAGGATATATTAGAAATTAACGAACTTTCCTGAACACATTTTCTAACAAAACCATTGTTTTGCAAGCTTATGAGTCCTCCACTTTTCATCAAGTCAGGGCCATTGGAGATGTTCCAAACTTATGAGCCATGGGTTGAAAAATTGTATTTCTTCCCTAAAAAAAAAAAAGCAAGCATGAATAATTAGCATTTTATACTTCATCCTGGTCATACTCAGCTTCATGAAGATAAGGGATGGCTTTCCAGGATTTCCTATTTCTTCTAATCTTGGATTGCTTCCCTGGGGAAAAAGAAAACAAAACAGCTTTAGAGAAAGCCACAAGATGAACATTGCGGCCTACAGGCAACATGTAATTAAAAAGTTAACAGTGAGGCTGAAAGGAAAGATGAATTTTAATGTTTTCCAAAGCTTCCTGTTATCCTGGGGCCTTGCAAACTGAGTAGCACTGATTGTAAACTCTCTTGACTTGCATTTAGCAGGCCAGGCCATTCCACAGAGCCAGGGATGAGGTAAGTGCAGAGCATCTTTTGGTGAAGTGTGGTGCAGTGCAAAGTTCTCTGTGCCTGCAGGGCACTGACAGGTTTGACCTTCTGTGTGTCACATGGAGCCCCTCGCCTGGCATTTGAGATCCAGATCTCTTGAGCTTCATTTGTTGGGTAGAAGTTGAAGTTCTACACTCAACAAAGCTCTCAAGTGAAAAGAAAAAACAGCAGCGGAAAGGTGAGGTGTGACGTCAAGATCCAGGTTTTACCAACTGAGAGAAAGGATAAGAAGAAATAAAAAAATACTGCATTATTGTGAAGATCCAGTAAGTGTCTTGGAAATGTCACCTTGTGCATCGTGTCATTTAATCTGATTTTATTTCTTTCAGGGCACAAAAAGGGAGTGAAAAACTGCTCGCAAGGTTTCCCTTTAAAAAGTTCAGTTCGTTTTTTAACTCTTACTTTTTCCCGGAAGACTGGTTGCTGTAGGTAAGAATACACATGTGTCTTTAGGTGAAAAGCCTTGTGACTGAAAATCAGGCACTGATTATCTCTATATAATTGATGCTTCAGTCAGTAAGTGAATGCTTGAGGAATAAAGATGCCTTGAAGCCCTGTGGCTCTCAGGCAGCCCTTAACCTCAATGGATTAGGAAAAAAACTGATATTTTTATAGTGTGCATTTTCAATTAGCATCGTAATTAGCAAGTAAATAATGCCTAGATTAAAATACTAATTTAGAGAAATTACAAAATATTTCAATAACACCAAAGGAATTTTCCACCAGGAAAATGATACTGTAAGGAGTATTACTGGTTTTTGCTACAGAAACCTACATCCCTACTCTGAACTTCCATCTCTACTCTGCACCTCTTTGTCTTTTCTGTTTTTCTGTCTCAAAGGTCAGAGGTGTTTTCTAGATGCAGCACAAGAGCTGGGCTGCCCCAAAGTCAGTGCAGCAGATGAGCCACCCCCTTTGCAGCACCCTGGGAGCCTGGGATGGGGCTGGTGCATCCAGGGATGGGCAGGTGACAGGGCTCAGCTGTCAGAGTTTTCCAAGGCAGGAAAACTCTGGCATCAGGGCTGCACTTCCATCTCCTCTCATCATGCACTGGTTGTGGCCATACAGCCTGGCAGCATCTCACCAGTTCCTGCTGGAAAAAACACCATTTGCTGGCCCCAAAACACCATTCAAAACTAATGGAAATGTGTGAGTGTCTCCCACAGGAACAAATTCAGGGAGAAGCATCAGCAGCCCCAGTGACAATTTGATGGTTGCATGTTCAGGCAATGATTCTGTGGTTACCAATGTTTAATTTTATAAACCTAAAAGTAGCACCATTGATTATATAAGAATTACTCATGCATGCATAAATAAAAGCTTGCTGGACCTAACATTCAAGTGTGTGTTTTTATGTTTATATAAATATTTCTTTATCAGACAGCATTTGCATGCTGATCTTGTTAAACAAACATTTGAAATCATTTCTCCCATAGAACCGTAAGTGGAAAGCTTGGAGTCTAATCAAGAGAGCCTGGGCAATGGGTTAAACCTATTCTTCAGAAGGTGACTTTATTCTTCAGCAGTTGCTTTTTTTTTTCTGTATAAACCTGCTGTGTGAATTCAGGTGACTCCACGGCACTATTTTAAAGTGGGGCCTCTGATGTGGGAATCTTATTCTTAGTACAGTTGACCTCTGATTTAAGAGGTGCTGGAGTGTTACTGGCTAATCAATATCTGGCTTGGCTGCTCTGCTTCAATTTTCTCTTCTGAAAACTATTTATCTCTCAAGGGTGAGATGAAACTTCATGAGTGTCTAGTGTGGGCTTTTGAGCAATTTAAAAGGTGCAAAGTTTTACTAGGCAGGATGCTAGGAAAGGATTTTTTTTAGTGAAATTTTTCTGTATATTTGAAAAGGTGGCTTTGCTGCACAGAGCAAAAAAATTCCATCCTATCAATACACTTTCATCCACTAAAATACAAACATCTTAGAGTGAAAAATACAAACTGCAGGGCTCAAATCACTTGCAAATTGCTTCCAAGTTTTGTCTGGTGAAACAGTATCATTACAGCAAATGTGGAACAGACAGCGCCAAGCAGCTTTATGTAACACAACTGCAAGCCATGGAAACAGAGGCTTGCAGAAAGTGCAACTCATACTGGAATTTGGCAGGGAGAGAGTGACAAAGATTCTTGCACTTCAGAGTAATGGCATGTGAATTTTAGCGTGTAGTGGTCAGGACCCTGTTCTACATCTGATGATAAAAGAGGAGCACGAATATTGAGTGTATCAGTTCAGCTTCTGGCTTAAGGCCACTCTCCAGGCAACGTGCCACAGCTATGAAATCACTCTGTTATTTTCGACTTCTCATTAGATGAATAGGGTAGTGCAAGCTGTTTGAAACTCCGCTTTGATGTATTTAAATGTTTTGAAATAATGCCTAGCATTTAATACCAAGTTTTGCTAACATGAGCTTTCCTAAGTGCCTGACAAAAATAGTTTTATTCCCCGCTGTTTAAATGTTGTTTTTCTAATTAAATGCAGATGCTTAAACCACCACAAGATTCCATTGCTCAGACATTAGATCATCCATCTTAAATCCTGAATTGTTCTAAATTTCTATATGAACACTAAATACTACAGCAGATACGATTATAATTCATTGCTAAAAGTCCTAATTCCCTGGGAACAAATGGAAGCGGCAGGAACAGTGCTCTTCACTCAAGAAACACTTCTCTTTAATTCAGTGTCAGAATTGTCACTGACTTCAGGGACAACTGTATTTGGTCACAAACGCCCAGGTCTTTACTGCTTAAAATAATCTCCTTTAGTTCTTAGTCACAAAGGCACAGAAGCTGCAGACTTGTATAGGTGTGCCCAATGTCTGGCGCTGAACACTGTTTTGTTTTGATAAGCAACAGCTGTTTTCAGAGCAAAATCACAGATTTGCCGAGGTTGGGAGGGACCTCCGGAGATCACCCAGCCCAACTCCCTGCCAGGGCAGGGTCACCCAGAGCAGGTGACACAGGAACGCGTCCGGGAGGGAAGATTTCAGAGAGATCACTGCCTGACATCAGCACGTTTCTACACCCGGTTTGAACAAACAGCGGTTCCAGACAATGCTGCCGGCAGCAGGGCGCCAGATCCTCCAGCACCTGTTCCCTGCTTTGGGAGACCCACACACCGTGCGGGTCTTGGGTTTTAATTTTAAGTCAAGTGATTATCTGCTCTCTTTTCAAAGGCTTTATTCTAACATGTGTACGCTTTGCACATTTTGCAGAGAAAAGAAAGATAAAACAGTCAAGTTGTGAAGTAGCTTCCCTTGGGTAGAACAGGGGTCCCTCATAGGGCAAAGGGCGCGGACCCCGTGTGGGGAGCTGGAGTTTTGCCCGAGGATGACTCGAGCGCGCGCACAGCTCCTATGCCGGAGAAGCCGCACCTCAGGCCGGCGCAGCGGCCGGACCACGGCAGCCCAGGCTGGGGCAGGTCACGGCGGCTCCCCCCTCACGGCTCCATCGCTCACACCGGCCCCTCCCCCCGCCCCGCCACGTCACTTCCCGGGGCGGCCGCAGCCGCCGAGTGTCAGCGGCCGTGCTGTGATGGCGGCGGCAGCCGCGGTTCGGGGCGCCGGTGGGGCTGTGCCGCTCCTGACTCGGCGTGGGCCCCGCGCCATGGGGAGCAGCCGCGGCGGGCGGCTCGCCTGAGGCGGCGGCGACAGCGGAGGGAGGGCGCGGCACTGCCGAGGGAGCCCCGCCGCGGGGGCCGCGACCCGCGCCGCCGGGGATGCTGCGCTGGGTCCGGCAGCAGCTGGTAGGTGCCTCCCCGCACTCTCCGCGCCACGGGCCGGGCGCGCTCTCGGCTCGGCCCCGTCCCGACGGCGCCGCCCGGGCCGCGGGTTCGCGGAGGGAGCGGGGAACAGGGCCGGGGTGCGGGAGAGAGGAGAGTCCTGCCCCCCGCAGGGGCTGGGGAAACCCGCGAGCTGCACTTGGATCGTTGTTGAAGGGTTTTTAAATTTTATTTTTAACCCGTATGCGAGGGTTTGGGGTGTTCCGATCTCTCGGCCTTTGGTTGGTTTTTTTGTGGGTTTAGTTTTTCCTCGAAGCCCCCTTGGCACAGAGGACAGCCCGTTGCCTTTCGTGTGGTCCCGTTGGGAAGGGCTCCCCAAACTTCCCGGAGAAATGGTGGTGCCTTTTTCTCTGGACCGACACTTCAGAGATTCGCAGCTTCTTCCTCCTTCCCGTTGCGAAATGTTTTAAGGCTTTTTCACCCGACGTGCCTCTCTCAAATATTTCCCCGTACCTGAGCGCTTTGCAGCCGCTGCGTGCTGAGGATTTGAAAGTGAATGAAATTGAAGGAAAACATCCGTGAAATGCTTTTGGGCGGGGGAAACCCCTTGGAAAAGGCAGCAGTCAGGGTGCCCGTCCCCGCACACGGCGCTGCTGGCTGTGCTGGCTTAGAACGAGCAGGGGAATCCAGGCGGCCGTGGCTGTCACGTCTGTGATACTGTAGCAGGGGAGTACATCGAGATTTACTGTGTTGATTTGAAGTTTTGGCCGGCTTCCTGCCCCGACCAGCATTATCCTACTTGCGTTTTTTCTAAGGGAGAAATTCTCTCTGAATGATGTATTTGTAAAATAACTTCTTCCATTCTTTGGAGTTACTTTGCATCACGGATGTTGTCCAGGTTAGTGCAAGAGCTTACATTAGTTAGGTTTTCAGATTTTGATTTGTTAAAGCTTCTGTCTCACTAATATTTTGTTCAATTTGTTGCATCATTTTTTACCAAAAAAAAAAGATTAAAATTTTGTATTTTCTTTTTTCCTCCTGTTTTTCCCTGACCTGGTTTCCCATGGCCCATAGATTTTCCCAGTTCTGTGCCCAAGGCAGAGAGCTTGTGGTCATGGTCTCATTGCCAGCCTGACAGTGCTCAGTAGTTTGGTCTGACACCAAGAGTTACTGACCTGGAAATTAATTGCTCTGTTTGAGCTCTGACCGCACTCTTCTGTTCTGTTACAGTCCTGCACACCTTTTTTATGAAAAAAACCCAAAACTGGTGTAACATAACTGTCATTTTTTCCACTTGAATGTGGCTTGAGGTTTGTATGTGTGGTTTTTAAAGCAGCATTCTGCTGTCTTCCATAGGGTTTAGAGTAGGACTGTATCAGTGCTAGCAATTTATGTATCAGACATGGTTGCTTTTTTCCCTGCAAGTAGTACACTGACCAGCTTCCCAGAAATCTGTTTGCCCTTAATAGAAAGTAAAACATGAGTGTAACAGGATGAGCAATAAACTTGGCACTAGGAGGTTTTAGTGCTTCTTAAAGGAAAATGGTGGAAAATAACTGTTTAAAACTTGCACTTGTTTTGACAGAGAAGAAACAAATCAGTGTAGTAGAAAAGCAGGACAATAAAAATTCAAGATTCTTGGCAGACATCTAAGTATAATACTGATGAGAAAAAATTTTTGCAATGGTACATGTTTTGTGGGTTTTTTCCTATAGACGTCACAGATGTTAATGGCTTGGTTGTTTCACTGCTCATAAAGATGCAAAATGGCCTAAGATAGGTATCACACTGCATGTTTCTTCCTAAAGACACTCAGACAACTCATCCCTGTGTGTATTTGCTGGTTTAGCATAGATCTCACCATATGTTTGCTTCTGCACATGGCTGTGATGTTTAGGTTCTGAAAGAATGTCAGAGGGCTAAAAACATGGGGAAGGATGCTGACAAAATAACCAGAATGAGTGGGAAGAGTGGGGTGACAGAAATAATCGAATCAAAAGGTGCCAAAATCCGTGTCTGAGAGGAGGAGAGAGGAATGTGTGGGTTTGGATGCCTTTGGAGCGTGCGTTTGTACCTGTGCCTGATGTGGCAATGGGTTTTATAAAAGGGTCTTCATCCTTACAGGAGGGTTGGAGTCAGGCCGATGTGTGGGAGTGATGGAAGTGGGATGTTGTAGTAATACAAAAGAAAAACGTTGGTGTGCAAAAATGCTGGAAAAGTAGTAAGGGATTGGGGAAAGGGGGAGGGACTGGTACTTAGCTGAAGGTGCTTTGAGGTAGTTTTTAAGTACTCTCTGTATGAAACCAATGAATTGTTTTGCAATTTCTTGTTTGCTTAAGAGAACAGTATTTCATGTACTGAGTTTTCAGGAGTGGGTATGGTTTTGAGAACTTGTTAAGATGGGGGGAGAATGAAGCAGGTGAACTTAAAGTAATGAGAGGACCTGGTATGGAATTCAGATTATTTTAGCTATTTTTTGAAAGTAGTGACTTTGCTGTGCTTTCTCTGAGAAGTCCAGTGCATGCCTGTAGAGCTACAGAAAGGGATAGAAAGGCATGAACAGTCATCTGAAGAGACATGCTGAGAATGTAAGGCTTCATTCATCCTTATTATTGTGTTACAAGTCTGTAACAGGTTTTTAACCGAGGTGTTAGATGTTTTTTAGTGATTTGTTTTATCTAAGAAATGGGTGACAGTAGTACAGCCTTCAGTGCCTATATAGCACAAATCATCATGTTGTTTGTTATCTTGGCCTTAAGTCTGGTTTTCTTGCTCTGCTACAATTCATACCACCCTAGCAGAGACAGTTTATCAGCTTTTCTCCATCTAATGCTGCCTCATGCTAAATAAGCTGCATAGTAAGTCATTAACTTCCTAGTTAATGTGATGTTATAGAATGTTGTTAATTCTTGGAAGTACTTAGGTTTTAGTAATGAAAAAATATAGCGCCAAATGGAGTTACAGTTCATGACTTTGGGTAAAATGCCATGATAAAGACAAGCTTTGGGCAGGAGAGATGTCTGGCTTCCAGCTCTGTTACCTTGACATCTCAGAGAGCAGTAGGCATGTGGATTTGGAAGGTTGCATAACGCCACAGGCACAGCCAAGTCCGCTTGAAAAAAGCAACCGGATAAACAACAGTTGATAGGAAGCATCATTAATATTCAGGAATAGCATTGTATGTTTTATTTGCATTTCCAGATATGATGGGTTAGACCTCATGGCAAATCTGTGCACCAAGAGCTGTTGTGGCTCCCACGGTCGGGTTTGTGCAGTACCACCACAAAAGGAGAGTGCAGTGACATTTGTAACACCCAGGGACTTTCTGTTCCACTTCCCTGTGGTGGGGTTGTGGCAGCATTTGGGCTGTGCTGCTCTCTGATGGTGCACATGCAGTGCAGGAGCTGTTGCAGTGCTGTTAACAGAATGTACTGACACCTTCAGTTCTCTGGCAAGGAGGTCTCTGAAAATTGTGGTAGAATACCCTCGTATGTATGATTTTAGCTGCATAATTTTAAACTATTAGTCCTGTCAATTGGAGAAGGGACTCAGGATTTCTCTTCTATTGCTGTTGTGAGGAGTTTGAGCCTTTTGAACTGTTGTCTAACAGCTCAGTAAAGTACAAAGGATTCCACATGGACAAAACCTAAGAGTTGCCTGCCTGGCCCCTCTTATATTAATGACAACTCAAGACAAGTGTTGTGCTGGATTTGGCCAATTATCTTTGCAGTTTAAGGACCTGAATGCTGTAGTGCACAACAGCTTTAATGCTGTGAAGAGCTGGGTTTGGGCAAATGCAGTTTTCTTATTTTACTGTAAATCAAAGATAAAATCTATAGATTAACTGTAAAACCTAGTTACCAGGCTATTTTATTTATTTCCTGGTTATAAGAAGGTTCAGACTGGGAGGGATGTCGGGAGTTTATCAAGTCCAGAAGTTCTCCATAGGCTGCATGGAGGGGTGATCGCAGGGAATGTTTTTGACTGTTCTGTGTAGGTAGTGCCTGTCACACCTCACACCCTCCACAGCCAGCACAGTATCTGTAGGAGTGTTCATCTTCTAGATGTGTTCTAATGAAAAATTTTTACTAATAAGGGAATGTCCTCAAATAGATTAGCACTAGAGGATTGGATGTCAGGGATGGGTTTTTTTCCTTTCAGATGCTGGTTACTGTTAAGATGTTCTGAGAGGACAGATGGTATTTTGTCATACCTTGCAGTTACTGGCATTCTGAACGAGGTGGACAGCATTTATTTCATTGTTTGCACTGACAAGTGTGTATTATTTTGTCTTAATCATTTTACTGAATGCAGTTACTTCCCTCCCCCCTCCAAAATTCCTTCTGTTTTCTGAATGCCAGAAGTTCTTTAAACTAATCCAATGATTGAGAATCTAGTAATCACCTTGCTATTCTGGAGTACAATTTCCCCCCCTCTTATTTGTCAATGAAGCCTCTTCCCCTTTCTGGCTGAAACTAACTAACTACTTGTTATTTTATGCTAGAAAATAAATACATATTTGTCCAGAAGAGTTCCTGGGGTTCAGACTGCATGGCTGATACCATGTGAATTATCACTGAGGGCTCAGCGAGGTTGCGTTGGCACAGCCCAAAGGTTGCATTGCTTTGCTGGAGTAGTTTGAGAGCCTGAGGTCAAGGACTCCCCTCCTGTAACTTAGCAGAGGAGCAAATGTGGCCCTCATCTTTGATCTCTGGACTAGTGCTCCCGTGTGTTAGGGTCTTTTAACCTTATTTTCCCTTTGTATTCTGTGACTGCTGAGGGCTGATAGATTTGCAGCACAATGTGTTCCAAAGCGTGCAGAGCCTGGCCCTGCCTTCGGCCAGCTGTCTGCTCCAAATGGAGACATCCCTTGTGTCCTGTGGGTAATTCCTGAGCCTTACCTCATGAAAATTAAACTCTAAATCTAAGAATTGCATACCAAAATATAACCAAACCAGTCCTGACACTGATTCTTTCTAAAAGTGTTTTAAAAATGGGAAGATTGGTGTTGTCTGATGTGCTGC